ACCGAATCAAAATTTTCCATAAGAATTAATGGAAATTAGATTAATCCGTTTCAGACCCCTAAATGTACAGCATTTTAACACTCATTTTACAGTTTAATAATACCTTAAATGAATAAAACCAATAAACACAATGTAAATGAAATGAAAATGTGACTTCACTTTACCTGTCAGCTCTGTTTGCTGACAGAATGGAGCTAAGTTTGCTTTATCTAGTGTTAAGAGGCCGATGCTTCAGCGTTCCAGAACAGAGGTTCCATTGTATATTATAATATATGTGTTGAATCAATGCATCTCTATGAGGAAAGTTCAGTGTTTCCATGCAGAGGGAGGAGACACTAAATTGCACTGTAGTTGCTATCTGAGGAGTGGCCTTTGGAGGTATCCCTAGGCAGTTATGTAAACATTGTATTTTCTCAGAGGCAAAAAGCCAGAAGGGAATGATTCTACTCACCAGAACAAATACAATACGCTGTAGTTGTCTTGGTGACTATAGTGTCCCTTTCATTCCTTTACTGTATTTTTTTGTGAATATGTGACAATTTATATAAGTAAGCATGTACAGGTGTAAAAACATGTGGAACTCTTTTTCTTGTGCTCCCTTGTATATACATGCTCTTCTTTTAATGGATGAATAAATGTTAAAGGAACACTCTGAAAGGGTTAATGTTGTAATGGACTCTAATCCCCTCGGTTCTCGATCCCTCGGTCACCATAATCAACGTTGATGGAGAGTCATTTGTAAGCAATAACACACGGACAACAGCTTTACAAGACTCTCAAATGAGTGTATTCCAGAGCTGGCTTTTATACATAGTTTGCTTACATTAGCCATGGTATATGCAAATACAGTACAGACTATAAGATTTATTACTTCCTTATATTACGTTATTCTGACAATGGAAAGATAAGCTTCTGCATACGTCTGGAAAAGAATATCCTGAAATCGGAATGGGCAAGACATCCTGAAATTTAGCATTGTCTTACATCCTATAGAAGAAATACCTTAGTCTGTCACAGTCAGCATATTATGTCGTATATTGAGTTTAAGTATTCAATATTCCTTCAGTCAGCAATAATCATGTTATAGACCTTATAAAAGCATAAAATACATATAAACAAGTTAACTATTTAATATTCTTACATTCCCCTCTTTGAGCAATAAAACAATTGCTCATCTTATCGATAAAATCTTACCAGGACAGAGAAACTTCCACATGGTATTTTCAGGGGTGCTAGTCACTCCCTGCGGGACTTTCATTAATTTCTTCACCTCGATTCCCATGTGGTAATTCCTAAGGCCCAGTTTAAAGATGGGTTGATACTCTACAGTGGCAGAGAGGAGAATTTCTAATTGTTTCTGTTCTGCATTATGGATTCATTTCTGTACTCTCTTCCTCAATGTACAAACAAGATGACAGTTATATAAAATCATACACAATAAAATCAGGACTATAATAACAAAATGATATAAGAATGATTTCATTATCTGGAATCCAGTAGGGGACCAACCAGTAAAGCATTGTACCAATTATGGGCTGAATCATTCTGAATTTGTGAACTCACCTTAAGGAGTTCTCCTTTTAGGATATGTGTGGCTACCTGTGTGTGTTATCTTTGGGGAAAATATAGTCCCATGTGTATGTGGGTGCCCACCAGGTTAAATTCTTGGCAAAAAGATCATAAACTGGTACTGGCAATGTGTTAAATTGACAAGCTAATTTAACATCCTTTGATGATGTATGATATAATGTAAAATAGCATGAGCATGAAAAATGTGAAACATTACCAGTTAACCATCCATTGCATTTACTGGATTGGGGTTTTAGAAGTAACCATTCATTATCTGTGAGGTTACGCTTTCCTCTAATCTTCTCTAGTTGAGGAATCATTAGTGCGTTTTCTAATGCCAATCCTTGTTGTATCCATAAATACCTGATGGCACAAGTACTCCAGTTACTTAAACCTGTAGTGAATTTCATAGTTGCAACAGTTAAATTATCTAAATAATTATACATTGATTTATCTAAATCCAATCCTATAACCTGTGATTTAACAACAATTGGAGCCCAATTTGCAGTAGCATGAAAACGAGTCCCTATGTGCATGCTGGCTGTGTTTAACTTATTCTTGAGGGTCTCCATATCTATAACTATTTAGTATACCCATAGTGGTTCCAGCACCATCTAACAGTGTGTCATACCATTCCCTTTTCTGCCTTTGTTTGTTGTATTACATAATGTTACAACAGGAGTAGTGATTTTTAATGACACATGTACAGCTTGTAAGAAGGCAGTTGTATTAACACATGTGGACGGAATAGGTGTGTGTGTGTCGTTGTTGACTTTTGGTTCTATGGTAGAGGATAAAGGACAGTAATAAGGTGTAAAAATATAAGGTAGTGTATAGTTCTCAATTGTAGTGTTGTTCATAATGACTAACATTTGTCCCCTTTTCCAATTAATGATACCAGTTGTATAATCATTATTAAAAGTAATAAGGCCTGTCTGTTTACATTGATATGCAACCTTAACTGTGCACATTTCTGCGTTATAAGATCTAACAATTTTCTGTGAACCTTTAAACAAACATAATGCATCGGTTTCATTAGCTGTAGACACATTTCATATGGGTAACTGGTACTTATAAGGGTTACTATTTGTCCAATTCATCCAAATGCGTTCAGTGAATGAATGATTGCATATTACATGCTGATAGAAAGGTGGTGGAGAAAGGTTCTTGAGGGGGCGTGTGTGACGAATGCTAGATGAGGGGCTAAGGCCTAATTGGGCTGGGGGTATTGAAGAATTGTTCATCATGTCAGAGTCTTTTTCCAGAAACAGACAGGTTTCAAACTTGCCATTGACTTGTACTCATAATGGCATTCAAGGAACAATATCAGAGGGAGTATAACAACTCCAGAAAGCATAGCGCACAACATAATCTTGGTCTCAGGTACGTATGATCCTCTCAATCTACGATATGGTGTAAAAGCCATGATGCTTCGCTGAGGAGAAATTCTTCTGTTTCCGAGCGAGGAGTGGTGTTGTCTTCCTTGGTTCCCCTCTTTGGACACAGCTTCACTCGGGATGCGTGAATCCAGATGTCGTGGGAATCTGTGGACAGCGGTTCTGGGTACAGCAATCACAGTAGCAGGTGGTCCAAAAGGGTATCCTCCTTTCTTGGTCCTGTTCAGCTGACGGATATACACCTTGTCACCGGGCTGGTATGAATGAGTAGGTTCCTGTGAAGGTAAGGGAAAACTGCGAAGAAACATTGTCATACATACCATTCGGTTTTATCAACAATTCACCTTGTGGGGATATATTCTTATCTCAGCTAAAATAGCTGGTAGATATCTAGTCCAATTTACCCATGTTCCTGGGTAAATTCTGGGCTTTTCCTTAATAGTCCTATTCATCCTTTCAACTACCCCTGTATTCTGTGGATGATAGGGTATATAAAACTGCCAGATAACTTGCAAGAATTTAGCAAGTTCCTGGGCAACCCTACTGGCAAAAACCGGGCCATTATCAGAGCCAATCTGCAGAGGGCAGCCATACCTGGGAATAATTTCAGTAACAATAATCTTCACTAGCATCCTCCCTAGATGTCACAAAGGCCTCATGCCATCTACTAAACTGATCAACTATGACCAGTAAGTATTGCTGTTTCTTACCAATTTTGGATACATGAATAAAATCAATCTGTAAGTGTGTAAAAAGAGCAGTGTTCACACGATCTTACAAAAGACTGTACATGCTGCCTGAGATTCCTAATATAAAATGAATTCATGAAGAATTGAATGGTGCTTGCTATGTGCCTGACTGATGAAAATAAATCAGCTTGCTTCAAGTATGCCTATTCTTCAAGTATGCCTATTCTCCCCTCTTTAGAGAACAGATCATTTTGATCTTTCTCTAAACCTTGTTTAATCCAAAAGACAGATTCTGGGTATTAAAAAAAAGAATCTCATAACCACTGAAGCGCTGGGCTGTCATGTGTTGTGTGGTGAGATTTGTCATCAGCTGAGTGACCTGGTGACTGGCATGAAGTATTGTAGGATGCCCTAGTGTGATAGTAGTAGCAGTTTCAACAGCCATTGCACATGCTATCAATGCTCTGAGACACGCCGGCATACCCTGTACCGGAGCTCGAACTACTTTGGAAAAGAATGCTATGGGACGCATACCGCCTCCTTGCTCTTGTGCACAGACCGCGGCCATGGTTTTACAATTGTCCCAAGCATACAAATGAAATGGTTTACAATACACAGGTAGTCCTAAAGCCTGGGCTTGCACAATAACAACTGTAAGGGCAATATATGCAGCTAGCATGTCTGGTGACCAGCAGACATTTTCAGGGCTGTCAGAACGTACAGCCTCCCTTAGGATTGAGTCATAATGGGAGCATTCAGGGATCCATTGGCGGCAGTAATTAATCATGCCGAGGAAGGTGAGCAACTCCTTCCGAGTAGTGGGTGTAGGAATCCTCTGAATGACCTCAATACGTTTTGGACTCAATTGTCTGGTGCCTAAAGCCAGAACAAAACCTAAGTATTCAACCTTTGATTTACACAATTGCATTTTGTGTTTAACAACCTTGTGACCTATAGTTGCTGACAGTATCCACAGTGCTTGCCTCAGAGCTAGGGCTACATAACAACAAATCATCAACATTTTGCAAAAAGGACGGAACCATGACCGGTGGTCCATGTTTTTTTTTTAGAGTATGTTGGAGTACCAGCGAATAAACAGCTGGGGAATCCACATAGCCTTGGGTAAGCGTGTCCAGGTAAACTGACAGCCTTCAAAAAATAAAAACCATAAGTAGCTGTGTCTCTTGATTAATAGGTATAGAAAAAAATTTATTACTTAAATCAATGACAGTGAAGCAAGTGGCATCATGTGGAATGGCTGTAATGAGGGATGTCACATCAGGGACAATGGGTGAAATGGGCACAATTAAACTATTCAGGGCTCTAAAGTCCTGAACTAAGCGATATGCTGGCCAGTGGTGTTGGGAGTGGGTCTGGTGTTGTTCTTGCCTACAGGGCATATTTTGAGAATTGTGGGGTTGTTGGGGTGTGTGGGGTTTCCTGGGGTTTCCTGGGGTGGGGTGTGGACACTCATTCCTCCAGTGGCCATATTGGCCACAGTTGAAACAAGTGTTCCTGTCTATTCCTCCTTGGTTACCCCTGCCCCTATAACCCTGATTTCCCTGTCTCCATCCCCTTGCCCCTCTTTGACCACCCCTTCCACGGGCTTTATGTGCTCCATCCCATCCTTGCTCTCAGCCTGTGTAGCTGGACATAATATGTTGCAATCCCTGAGCATAATAAGCAACCTTACTTTCCTAAATCTTTTCTTAATTCAAAACAACCTGCATTTTCCTTTTCTATAACCTTGGTAAGAAAATCTGAGCTATCCAAATTGGCCCAGTCTGAAATCAATTGTTTCACAAGCAAAGAATACTGTGGCAACATATTACCAAGGCATGACTGTATTTTAAAGAGATCTATATCATCTCCAGACATCAAACCTGCCTCATCCTTCCAACACTTGTAAAATTTCTTTACAAAAATCATATTACCAATCTCTTCCTTTGCATCTTGCTTATATGCCAAAGCAGTGAATATAGACTGCTTATTCTTCCATAATCCCAACATTTCAGCTTCCACCTTGTTCCAAATTTTAGCACATCTTACTGAAGTACTAAGCTCATAATCACCAATTCATTTCAAACCATATAACTCATACTCAGCATCCCATGTAATATTACACGTCATCTCACAAAGCAATATCTTTGTAGAAACACATAATGGGTACCCAGCAGATATGCCAATACAGAAATCACATTTATGGGCACACAACTACACACTCTGTCTCCCTCCTAGGAAACACAGATAGACACAATATAAAAGCAATCTTAAACTAACACCTCCAAATCTCCAACTATTCTTGGCCAAAACGCTAGTATTCAACAACTAATAAAACAGTTATTTGCTAGGTTATTTGGCTGTCATTCTTATCAGTATCACTAGACTGTGACAAACTGATTCACATATAATTTAAAACAATACAGCAACATAAATTAAACCACTTTCAAGTTAAACTGCACACTTATCACACATTATCACAATCACCATTTACACAAAATAAAGAGTTAACAGCTGTATTCAGAACATATTATTGGAAAGTATACCAATTTTAGTTTAGATTTATTTTAGGGATTCTTATGTATACATTTTCTTAATTAACTTCATTACTTTAATCTACTATAGTATTATATTTAAAGAAAGGATCCATTTATATAGCGCGCTCATAACTCAACTATTTGTATAAAACTACCATTAACTAATCTGAGATGATGCTGCATCAATTTAAATCTTATAGAAATTGAACAAACATCTGGACCAGATTAAACAGACATGGTTTCACCTGAATCTTTCAGAACTCTCAGAGACTTAAAAAATTTATACTATACCATGTTTTAAAGGCATGGCAAACCTTTAGACCGGTCAGTCTCCAAGAGCCCTTAGTAACACAGGTAAAAAACCTCTGTCCATGATGTCTGATTCAGGCTATATACCACAATTTAAAAATAACACATAATGTGAGACATAGAAGACACAAGCAGTAGTTATTACACTGGATCATTTAAAAGGAACCTGTTGCAATAAAAAGGTTAGTTTACAGCGCAAAATAAAGCATGTGTTGGACCGCTGAAAATGTAAATGTTGCTCTGTTATTTTCAAAATCATATTTAGTATGGATCCTTTGCAACAAACACACAGGGCAGGGAAGATGTGCTGATTGGTGTTTCTATACAATTAATCCCAGATGGGGAATTAACTTTAAAATACTAATGAAGTGACTTTTTGTCTCAGTTATAAAATATACTGAGCTCATCATGCAAACAATGCAACACATTTACACTATCCCACTCTCATAATAAGTGTAGTGGGCTTATAGTATTTTTAAAGCAACAATCATTCCAGGCACACAGTTCCCATGTGAAATAACTTACAATAAAACAGAGTAATAAACTTATACTTCTATGCAACAGAAAGAATAAAGCAAAAAGATTTAAGTAGGTCTATCAGGTACAACCTATGAGTCATTTCTTTTCTAATATACAGTACTGCTATCTTGCAGAAAGATAAGTCCTGCGCTCACTCCCATCACTACTGGACAGCAGCAAGGACTACAGTACACATCAGCCCCAATATATGGTAAAAACCAAAGAAAAACAAGTTACCTGCGTTCTCTCCTTAATCCCTATGTATTTTTAAAACCTCCATTTGTTTAAAAGTACTGCTATCTTATATATACACATATACATATACACACACATATATACATAAATATACACATATATACATACACACACATATACATGTACATATATTGGTCACTCAGGACATGAACTCACATTTCCCATACTGCTGACTCAGAGTGGGGACACTACTAACTTACCAAAGTGTGTCCCCAATATAGACAAACAATCACCCACAAAGAACACTTAAGACAAACAAAGGTGACCGGGAGAAAGAGAAGTTTGGGTTATACTTAAAGATCTACAAACCGTGCTGCTCAGAACACCTATAGAAACCGGAGACCTCTTATGGTCTCAAAAACCTGTATCTATCTTAGATACTAACCTGGGTTACCAAAACCCTATATATTTAGACCAAATGTCTAATAAACCGGAGACCTCTTATAGTCTCAATATAAACCGGAGACCTCTCATGGTCTCAATATAACTAGAGTCCTTACACCTTTCCTATCTACTGGATACAGACTTACTGAACCAAAGGGGGTCATAGACAATCAGCGTCAAATAAGACACAAAAAGGCTACTCACCGCAAATGGTTTTGCTGATCCACTTCTATCTATCCCACTTCTAGACACCAAGCTGAAAGGGTTAATGTTGTAATGGACTCTAATCCCCTCGGTTCTCGATCCCTCGGTCACCATAATCAACGTTGATGGAGAGTCATTTGTAAGCAATAACACACGGACAACAGCTTTACAAGACTCTCAAATGAGTGTATTCCAGAGCTGGCTTTTATACATAGTTTGCTTACATTAGCCATGGTATATGCAAATACAGTACAGACTATAAGATTTATTACTTCCTTATATTACGTTATTCTGACAATGGAAAGATAAGCTTCTGCATACGTCTGGAAAAGAATATCCTGAAATCGGAATGGGCAAGACATCCTGAAATTTAGCATTGTCTTACATCCTATAGAAGAAATACCTTAGTCTGTCACAGTCAGCATATTATGTCGTATATTGAGTTTAAGTATTCAATATTCCTTCAGTCAGCAATAATCATGTTATAGACCTTATAAAAGCATAAAATACATATAAACAAGTTAACTATTTAATATTCTTACACACTCCATACACCAACACAAATTTAATGCATTTGATAGATTTTGGACTCATAATAAGCTCTTATTTCAGCATACAATAAAAAATCTTTATAGTTTTCATACACACAAAATAAAATATTTACACACTTCCCTCCATAAAAAGACTTTCGTATAAGTGTATGTAGAGGGAGGGTAGAACAGGTGGCTCAGGGCTAACTGTAATATACGGCAATATATATATTCCAATTATATAGAAATGGAAACCACTAGTAAAGGTTAGATCCTTAAAGGACCAACCTCCTGTGGATCCCAAAAGAACACCTGTATGGACACTCCAGAAATGTCCTGGGGCTTAACCCCTAAGTTTACAACAAAAAAGAAAGCTCTATCTAAGCACTGGATGTACAGATCCAGCAGTTCGAGCATATACTGGAATTATGAGGATAAATGAATTGATGATGATAATAATAATAATATTAGTTAGAATATATATACATATCAATAACCTCTTCCTGATCTAGAGAGTCATCCCAAAAAAAAAAAAAATAGTGTTACCAGCCAAATAGGCTATACCTCCCTAGTCCTAAACTGTGACTACACTGCATCTCAGACTCTTGACTTTAATGTCACTTATTTGGTCGCAGTCTGTATATTGTCACCAATAAAAATAAATAAATTGAGTCACAGTTAGAAATCCTAATTCCTAAACAAAACTGCATGCAATAGCAAATAATGGTAACCGGACAGTTAAATCATAAATAAACCTCACAGTTCGAGAGTATAGAGATATTTGCTTGAAATGAAGTAACTAATATATAGTACTGCTCTAAATAAATATTAAATATGAACAGTCGCAAAAAGTCTCTAATGAAAAGTGTAACACTCAAACTAATGTACTAATGTCCCGTGAAGAGAATAATAGTGTCAATCCTAGATGCATAATCAAATAATAAACATGTATCTCCTTCACAGGCTACTGGATAGAGTGAGGGAATTAGGAATGAAAGGGAGGTTTAAGAAAAATGTAAAATGCTATTGTGCAGGACCATACTTAGAATGTTGGTTGCCTGCACAACCAGCTGGGTACTTTCACTATGTGCAGGCAATGCTCTGAATATTGGAACTTGCAAGAGAAATATACACTGCCTGCGTTCAGCGGAGGTGCAGAACAAATACACTGGACCACCAGGGAAAGATAACCAAAGGTTAGGAAAAATTTATTTTTAATACATTATTTTAAATTGCACATGTAACAGATTCTGTGTATATTTGTGACAGTGTGCGTATCCGTGAGTATGTGTAACAGTTTGTGTGTATCTGGTGTATGAGTTTGTATTTTTTAACTTTGTATATTTGTGAATTTATAGTTGTAATATTATGTGTTTTGAGCCAGTAGAAGGGTACACATTGTGTGCCAGTTGGTACTTTACTTTAATATATTGATTTATGGCAGGGGATTGGTTGGGCCATTAAGAGGGCTTAAAAGGACACTACAGTCACCAGAACAACTACAGCTTAATGTAGTTGTCCTGGTGTCTGTTTCCTGTCCCTGCATGCTTTTTAATGTAAACATTGCCATTTAATAGAAAAGGGAGCAAAAATCAGATGCGTGTCCTGACAGGTGTGCCCTCATAAAGTATGAATGTTTGTCTGTCCTATCTAATCTATCCCAGTTATATAATGGTTTTTATTTTTCATTCTTGCTTTTCAGGAATTGAGAAAATTGTCTGGAAAACATCCAAGTGTCGTAATAATTCCACTTGGTATGTCTACAATATTTTTCTGTTTTTATTATTTTGTTTTTCTTTCAGATTTGTCTGTTACTGTAAATTGGCAGTTTTGTTTCTCCGAATAAATAAACGTGACCATTTAATCCCCACTGAATGGAAAATAGGTAGATAAAAAAATATTGTTCCATTTCCTTTTTTTCTTTCTGCCTTTGCAAGATGTTTTCCTTAGAAAATACTGTGATATCAATGATCTGAACGGTATCCATTTGACAATTGTGCACAATTTCAAGTGGGCTCTAAAAAAAACATGGCTTTGAAGTACAAGCCCTGTTATTTTCTCCAATGCCCACACACTGCAGGTGCAGTAAATCTATCTTCTGATTGGATAACATTTAATATACTGATGCGTATACAAAAAACAATTTTTCCCTGAGGTTCTGACATAGGGATTTATTCTCTAAATTGTGAATTGTAATCAGGAAATTGCAAACTATAGACCAAAATAGTTAAACTGGAAAAGTGGCATGATTGGCAATGCATGCCTGAAACACAGCCAAATAATCTACCCAAATCCTCTCCTCACCCAAACATCACACATATTCAAGGGGAAAGTGACTGGCCACAGCTTTATTTAACATTCCAAAATAACAGCCATTAACCTCCGCTGTCAGGCAGGTATTATTCTCCAGAGTTCGGTTCCTGCTCACTTTCCATGACAGAAACCCCCTCTCCCAATGCTAGTTGAGCCACCCATTTGATTCATGCGCTGGCCAGAGTACCTTCCGCAGCTGTAACAGTAACTGCAAGAAAACACAAACACCACAACCAACGTAAAAGAGAAGAGAATAGAAAGAAAAGGTAGAAGAAAATCAGAGGGGGAAAGAAAGAGAGCAGGAGGGAACTTTCTTAAACCCTCTAACAAATCCATAACTTTCTTTCAAAACTGTCCTTGGAAGACAAGGAAGTTTTTGGAAAACAGAGTAAACTGAATGTACCTTTCCTGGTTAAATACATTATCATCTGTACACATATGATCTGCCTAGAGTATTAGGAAATCCACATTTGTATAGTAATGACTCAAACAGGTTGCAGCAGATAGGGCACGCTTTGGGCTTTTAGACCCTTTTTTTGTGTCTGTCTTCCCCCAGAATCTTCTTTTGTGTTTCTATCTTCCCCCGGGCCCTTTTTTTGTGTTTCTGTCTTCCTTTAGACCCTTTTTTGTGTATCTGTCTTCCCCTGGGCACTTTTTTGTGTTTGTCTTCCTTTAGACCCTTTTTTGTGTATCTGTCTTCCCCCGGGCCCTTTTTTTGTGTTTCTGTCTTCATTTAGACCGTTTTTTGTGTTTCTGTCTTCCCCCGGGCCCTTTTTTTGTGTTTCTGTCTTCCTTTAGACCCTTTTTTGTGTATCTGTCTTCCCCTGGGCACTTTTTTGTGTTTGTCTTCCTTTAGACCCTTTTTTGTGTTTGTCTTCCTTTAGACCCTTTTTTGTGTATCTGTCTTCCCCCGGGCCCTTTTTTTGTGTTTCTGTCTTCATTTAGACCGTTTTTTGTGTTTCTGTCTTCCCCCGGGCCCTTTTTTTGTGTTTCTCTCTTCCTTTAGACCCTTTTTTGTGTATCTGTCTTCCCCAGGCCCTTTCTTTTTGTTTGTCTAACTCTAGACGCTTTTTTTTTTTTTTTGTCTTCCCCAGACCCTTTTTTGTGTTTCTGTCTTCCCCCAGTGTGTTCGCCTTATTCGCCTGGTGGTCTCACCGGCCATTTGTACAAGAGACTTAGAAACAATGCATCAAGGTGAACATGATTTATTCATGCTGGAAAATTGACCTGGCAATATTCCAACACTAAATGTATTGTTCTTACATTGTTCTTCACCATAGTCCTGGCGTAATGTATGTACATCATTCAAGACTATGACCTCATCCAGATAAAATGTCAGAAATTGGGGCCACAATTAGAACCACAAAGTGAATAATTAGAGTGCATGATTTGAAGGCCTTCTTTATTCTGTACAGCAAAATAGAATTTAAATCTTTCCCATGTATAAATGTGACACTTTGATATCATTGTATTTATATAAGCTCCTCTCTTTTCTTTGTCTTCATATTGTTTGGTAGATACCACAAACTCTGCTAACGTTAATGCCTGTGTGAAGGAGGTAGAGAAGCATTTGAGCGGGCAACACCTGGATCTTTTAATTAACAATGCAGGTGTTCTCCACCCACAAACCCTCGAAACCCAAACCGCAGAGGACATGCTTGAGGTCTACAACATTAATGTGGTCGGTCCTATGCTTGTGGCTCAGGTAAAGGCTATTTCAAGCTCATTATCTTCCTCTACCTGATGATTTAGATGTAAATAATCTGCATCCTTTCAGCAAGACTTAGAAAACTCCAAGAAAACAAGGAGTACTTATTTTTAGTATTATCAAATTTGATAATTATATGATTAACCATTAAAAACAAAGATGTTGGCTTTATAATGGGACTATCTTGCTACTAATTCTATAAATTCGTAAACAGAATTATCTCTTTTTTACTTTTTTGTTGTAAATTTTTGAAATCACTTATCCACTCATAACAACTCATCAAAACACTCTATGTACTGAATGATACTTCTTAATCCCTCAGGTAGTTGCATTTAGCACATTTATTTTACTTTAAAATAGTTGGTCATTGTTGTTTTTGTACAAAAATATATCATTTTCCTTAGGCATTCCATCCTCTACTAAAACGATCTGGAGCAGAATCAAAAGAAAAATCTGCCATTGTTCATATCTCAGCTCTCCTTGGCTCCCTTGAAGACCTTCCACGGTTGTTTTCACATTTCCCCGTAATTTCGTATCGATGCAGCAAGGTACAAAAGAACACATTATTTGTCTCTGTAGTAATGCGCAATCTATGGGCTGCTATGTAGACTGCAGATAAGATATTTACTGCTTTCCACACCAGTCTGGAGGGGATGACACTTATCAAACAAATCAGTGTCCTACCTTGCATTGGGCATGCCTGACAGTTACATATGTGCAGTTGGAAGATCTCTTCACCGTGGGACATCCTGACCAGGGGAAAAGATTATGCAGAGTAGGCTCCGATGTTGTGTTTCTCTCACCTGGACAATGATGCCCTATTTCTGTCATTAGTGGGCTGAAGAAACTCCCCTAGTTGAGAGGTGTGCCCAACAATGCAAGGTGACCAAGTTTATAGTAAGCTTATAATAATTTTATTACACACTTTTCAAGTTTTTCTTGCTTTAGTTTGTATATTTGTTTTGAAAGTGTTTGGTTTTAAAAAAACACAATTGTCAAGTGATGCATGCCCCTTTTAAACTTTTTTTTGTTTCAAAGTGAAATGCCAAGTTGTCACAAGTTAATCTCCTGGTGGTCTAGTATCTGTAAGGGTGGGAGTTTGCTCCCTTGATGACTCAATTATAGTAGTGAATATATGCAACCTACATGCATTAAAGCTTTTTCCAGCTCAGTTATACTAAACCACCAATGTTCAATGATGACCCCAACCTTTAGTCTGCTATTCTTTCTAGGTTTCTTTGTATTATATTTGTGTGTGTGTGTATGTATGTATGTGTATGTATGTATGTGTGTGTGTATATGTATATATATATATATAATATGTGTGTGTGTGTGTGTGTGTATATATATATATATATATATAGTGTTCTCCACATGGCTGAGCATTCAGTTATTGCCTCCAATCCACCACCCCCCCCCTCCCAAATTATTTGGGTTAAGCCTAAAATTAATAAACAAGTTCCCCCATATATATTACAGCTAGCAGCTGTGTGCCAAATTTTATATAGGCCATTACGTGTATATGAAGAGCCCATAGAGTCTGTCCTATGTTTTGTGATATACTAGGGTTAGCCAAGTACACATGTCCCCCAATGTAGCACTCATTCATCTCAATCGCATACAAACATGATATCCTGACATCTCGCCCAGCATTTACCAGTCACACATATCCGTGCAAAAGTACTCACATTTTGCACAGTACCAATATAAAACAAAAAACAACAACCATGATTCAGCATCCAGTAGCCATATATCCACCAAATAAAACCTACAAATTAGCCGACCGTCTCTAATGGCATTATGGCACCCACGTACCGACCATCGACTTATCACAACACTTAGAGCTTCCATCAGCCACCTAATCATTTATCAGTTCCTTTCACCATGTTCATGGTTTATCTGTGCTTATTTAGCTCATTGTGTTAGCTGTAGCTGTTCAGGATAGTACATTTTATTGTACTACTGCATGGTCCCCACAGTGGTGGAAATGTATCTGCTGTTGTTCCCATTCTAGCGTCCTGGCTCTAGTATTTTGCTTAGATCATGTATTTATTTTCCTCATTTTTAAATTTATTTTTAATCTCCTGTACAGGCTGCCTTAAACATGCTCTCACGATGTCAAGCAGTAGGATACAAAGAAGATGGAATTATCACCATTGCTATACACCCTGGTTGGGTTCAGACAGATATGGGAGGAAATCAGGTATCTGTAATAAATATATATTTATCTCTCTCTCAAACACAGTTTGAAGTGATTTCCAATTTTGTTATAGAAGGGGGAGGGGGAATTCCTTCTTGACTACAAAATGGCAGTGAGCTTTATCCTTGGGTCAATGAGCGGTTACCGCACAAATGAACTATTCTATTGTTAAATATTGCTTTTCCAAAAGAGCATCCAGATGTCATTTAAAAATATGCACACAATTTAATAACTCTACTCTGTCCAGAAAATTCCACATCTTTACCCCATTTTTATCCTTTCCTGTGCGGTAGGTAAGCTTTCACATTTTACAAAACCAGGAAGTAAAATGACCTGTTGTCTGGTTTAAAAGCCAGAGGAGTGTGACTAGTATATTTTAAAAAGTGTCAGTTCCTATTGAATTCTGCACTTTTTGCAAAATGAAAAAAATAAAACACACTTTTCACACACACAGCTTTTCAGAAAGTTAAAGTTGTTTACGTGTCTGTAAGGGGACCTTTGAATACACTATACTGTGCAAGCATTGTTGAATACCAAAACTCATGGTAATCTCATTCTTCTGGTTTTAAGTCTAAGTAGGAAACTTATTACCCTTTCTGCACGCTCGGATTAATGAATAGCTTACCACTACTGTTTGTACTGATCCTGTACATATTTGTATGTTATCATAGTCCCTTCTGAAATATATTTTTCTATAATAAAACACATTTTCAAAAGTAGAATACCTGTATTCCTAACGCTTTAGAATCCCTGTCACTAGTTAGAACTAGTCCCCCCCATGTTTGCAATACAATTTTTAGAGAAGTTAAGTTATAACTACTTGTTTCTAGCTCCAAGGCTTCCTTGGCGCTGCATACCTCTGTCTCACGCAATGACAATGTTTCTCATAGAGGAGCATCGGGGATCTAATGCATGCACCGCGCTTATATCAATGCTTTCCTATGGGGGCTTACGCATTATGTGACACAATGTTACTCTGTCATTGTGTGGCGGAAACACCTTTAGATAGCCTCTAGAGGAGGACGTAACCCTACAATGTAATCATTGTGATTTCTGAAAACTGTAATGTTTTACATTGATATGTTCAAAGGACAGGGATGCTACACCCAGACTACTTCATTGAGAGGAAGTGATCTAAGTGACTATAGTATCACTTTGTTTTGTAGCAGGCTACTGTACTTTATTTAGTTTCATAATATCCTACTTTAAAAAAACACACTGAACATTGCACAACATTTTAAAGATTTATCAATAGGCAAAATTATATTTACATCCTGTGACTTAATACCCTTTATTATGGATAATACCACATTTGCAACCGGTGACTGAGATTACACATTGTTGCTTAGTCTGTTTTTTTTATAACTATTCCCATGGGCTTCTCGTTTTCATCTAAAAGATAAGACACAGAACTACAGAATATGTAACATAGAATGACCACTCTACCTACATATGGTGTCAGTGTGATTCTTCTTGTTGATATAAAATACCTAAGGAAATGAAGACATGGACCTACCCCTACCCCTTCAAAATTATATGAAGCATAGATAATGATAAATAATAGAAAACCTTCTATAAATCTCGAGAATTTATACAATTCTTAGTAGTACATATTATCTTTGTTCTTCAAAAAGCTTGCCTAATCTGGGTGGATTAGTTTGTGGATTATGTATTCTAGTTTAAATAAGTTTAACAATACTTGGCCAATACTTTTACAGTCCAAATTTAAGAAGGCATACAGTAGTTATTTAATGTTATGCATGTGATTAAATCACCTCTATTCCATATAAAATTTAACTTCTCTTTAATATTTATTCCCATTTCCAGGCTCCGCTGACAAAAGAAAATAGTGTTGGTGGAATGATGAAGGTCATTTCTTCCTTGAACATAACACAAAGTGGCACTTTTGTTGATTGGGAAGGAAATACTTTGCCATGGTAAACAGCTGGACATGCAGTCAGAGCATGAAATCAGTCTGTGTACAAAAATCTGAATTCTCTATGAATTACATGGTAATAAAATTAGTTTTGGACATTGTTTGTCAGTTTGTAATTTACTGGATAAATTGTTGTTTAAAAAAAAACAAAAAAAAAACTACCGTACATGAATGCTAAAGGACAAAAAACTAAATGTTTTACTTACCGTAAATTCTTTTTTTCTTAATGTGGTGGCAGTATGTATAGTTTGTGCTTCCTAATTGGGACAAGCATCTGCTAGATAAGTGATTAAGAAAAGTCCCTCCCCTCTACCTTATAAAGGGCTTCCCCTGGCAAACCCACCTCAGTCGTACAAGAATACACACCTCAGCCACACACTGTAAGCAAAATTGTAATTTACAGGGAGTGAGATTTGTACTGCCACCATATTAAGGAAAAAAAGAATTTATGGTGAATAAAAGTTTGTTTTTTCTGACATATGGTGGCAGTACATATGGGATATTGCAGGGATTCCCAATCGGGTGGGCCTTATGCCTAAACAGCTTGAAGTATCTAAGCCCAAATGCCATTTTAGAGGCTGAGAGTACATTTAGCCTGAAAGTGCCTGATGTTTTTTAAGGTGCTAAAAGCTGACCAAGAAGCAGCCATGCTGATTTCTTCAGGTTAAGCAAGAGCTTTTCTCTGACCATGAAGTGGTCATTGCATTTGTGGAATGCGCTGTGAAAGATGCTGGTGAATAAAAACTACTAAAGCATAAGCCATTATGATTGACAAATAATAGAATTATGAGTGGCTTCATTCCCCTTAAAACTACCCTGGAAGTTGACAACAGGTGATCTGATCTTCTAAATTCGGCTGATATTGATGGGTACATGTGAAATGCCCTTTGAATATGCCATCTAGTACCAGCAGGGAGGTGGCATAGTTATAGAAGGCTGAAAAAGCTGAAGGCTAACCGATAACTCTGGAAGAATTAGAGTGTTAGGATGAAACACAACTTTTACCCTGATGGAATATAAGAAATTCCACTGAAGATGATCCTGAAGCTCGCTTACTTTCTTGGTAGAGGAATGGCCACTAAGAATGCTGGTTAAGCTTTAGCATATTAAAAGGAACCATCTCCAACGTAAAAGGGGACCTGAAAGACTGGAGAAAGATCCCAGGAGTGAAACAGAACTTCCTAACCAGTGAATATGAAGACTAATCCCTTCTCAGAAAGAACTTAGGGAATACCATTTGGTCTTAACGTGGAAACGCCCAACCTGTGGAAATCTCCTGCAGGAAGTGTAAGTTTGAACCACCCGGACAAATAAACTAGAAGACAATGATGTTCCTTACAAAAACGTAGAAACTCTACCCAAATCTTCATGTAAAAGTTAGAGGCGGAACGACCAGAAGATTATACGCAACAAGTGGACTCTGACTCCTGAAGACTCAGGAGATAAAGGATCCACCAAGCAGTTGCTCTACCGTCAATAAGAACCTATTCAACACTTCCAGCAGGATATCCTGTCTTCCAAAAGTGTTTGAGAGCGGAAGATCTCCAAACTTGAAAGTCATCTCCACCAAGGCCGAGAACTGGCTTGTGTTTAGCCAGTACGGAAAGATTGGCAGAACCACTGCTCTGTCCGTTCACCCCTTTGAAGAAGTGTTCGGAACAGTCTATACGAGAAAGTGTAAGCCTGGAGAAATACCCACTATTCAATGTGAACTATCTTTCCTGTACAGAGAAGCAAACCTGAGAATCTTCATGTTCTCCCACTTTGCCATAAGGTCTATCCGGGCACTCCAAATCTCTCTGTAGACCGTGAACATGATCTGATCTGTAGACAATTACTCTAGATCCCAATTTCTTTTGCTGAGATTGTAAGTGATGACATTGTCGACACATCATGAGTGGAATGAATAGAGGACCTCCAAGAGATCCTGAGCCCAGTACACTGTTTTGGTACATAGCTGAAACAGACCTTGCCTCTAGCACCACCCTGTCTGTTGATGTGAGGGAACCTGTGTCATGGTCTGACCACATTGTAATAGGTCCCTCAATCAACTAAGATCTGAATCGGTGAGGGGAGTAAAGAACTGCCTTAAGAGCTGTGAAATTAGTGGACTATTTTTCTTAGGACCAAGAACGCTGACACAGAGAATTTAGACGAGTGACCCAGCCTGTGTTAGATGCATTCTGTGGTGCAAATTACTCCTTCTATAGACTGAAAATACAGACTTGTTGGAAAAAACTTGACGTTGTCCACCAGTTTAACTTATCTTCTGCTTTTTTCGAAGAGAGTCTAGGAGACAGAACTCTTTGACCCAGAGGGGAGAATTTTCCACTGTAGCAGCCAAATCCAGATTTTACCCAGTTGACTGCAGGAATTGAAAATATCAGACATCCCAGCAATCTCATTTCCTGTTCTTATAGAGGAATTTTCACTTTATTAGTAATTGGACCTTTCCTTTACAAGTAACGTTTTAGGTTAACACAAACCTCAACAACAAAAAAAACTATGTTTCTTGGAGAAGGAGAAAATACATTATAGTCTGTTTCCAACCGTGTTGTTGTAGTGCTCTGCTGGCTATCCAAACATACTTAAAGGGCAACCATCCCGATTAGCAATAAGTAGCCAAACTCCCAAGTAGGGAATGCCTCGTTCCCTAAAATATGCTGTTATGGGAGTGTTTTGAAGAGCAATGAAATCTATTCAATCCACTTATTATGGCATATTTTCAGAAAACTTCTTAAGGGGCCGCAATAGGGATATGAGGGAAGTCTGAACCTCAGGAGAGGAACCAATTAATTTAAATTCATAACCAGTTTAAAGGAATGATCAAAGATTAATAACCAGGAGATTCCTTAGGAACCCAACAAACTTTGTGGTTCACAGAACCATATCTCAAACTCCTTGAGTCCAACAGGGACACTGTTTCTGTAAATAGAGAATCAGTTGTTCAGAAGATTATGGATTGGGCAGATTTGAAAAGGGCAAGCCTCTAAAGTGCCCTCTTTAACTAGATCAAGAAACCAGTGATTGCAAGTAGGTTCTACTTAAAAGCCAGGCAAGATACATTCAGATATTTCTTGGTTCCCAAATGCAACCTGGGAATGTTAATTGACTCCATTGAATGGTACTCCAGTCATGTACCTCAAAGGGATGAAGTGCTGAGTTAAGGGTTGAACAAGGTCTAAACCCACCAAGCTATCCACACTTAGTATAAAAATGTAGGATTACGCCTCCAAGACTCTTGGCCTCTGAAACGCCTACCCATGTCGGACCTACTTGTCTTGTAACAGAGCTTTTTTCCTTTTCAACACAGGTTATAAAAGATAAGATTTTCCTAATGGGAGTAAACAGGGGACCGAAAAGGACGCTGAATGGCCGTCCAAAATTAAGCCACCAGGTTATAAGGGAAACAGCAGACCAACCCATGATCTTGGCCGTCATTGTCAAATCCATATAAAGTATGTGACAATCACAATAAAACAGGAAACAGATGAGCTTCTTATCAGGAGACTTAAATAGCCTGCATTAACGATTGTAAACAAAGTTATACGTTTTTGGACACCGCTGCACCTGCCAGCTAAGACCCATTCCGAAACCCAGCAGTCTGGAAAGATCATCTGCAAGAGGTCTCAGTCTTCTTGACAACAGGGTTTTTAAAGCAGCTACTTCTGCAGATTTTTATGGATTCCCAGTGTACCTGGGGGTGTAACATTTACCTATTTGATGGTAAACCTATCAAAAGCCTTCTATAGCAGAGGCATTCGACGGTGTACTAACAGTCTGTTTTGCACATACAGTTCACTTTCTGCAAAACAATTCCAATTCCATCCATAACTTGCAATTTTAATCAGAACAGATTTTCAAAGCAAAGATCAGCTAATCTTACCTTGAAAACCTCTGAGCCGTGTAGGGGGGTTGGAAACACGGGGAACCCTGCTGACAAGCTTCCTAGTGCCAGAGGGAACAGCACTCTGCATTTTCCCGGAAGTGCAATAGCGCACACAGAACTTTGGTGGAACGGAACACCACCTGGGCGTGCATTTCATTGATGTGCGCAGGCGCACGGCTAGCCCATACTTACCAAACGGAACATACTCGGCCCAAAGTTAAACAGAAAGGGCTCCGGAACAGCCAGCCATGCCGTTCAGCCTACAACGTGGGAGGCTATTGGGCTTCCTCCCACAGACGGCAACCTATGTGCCTCACCTTCAACAGACGCTTGATCCGTCCAGTGCTGGGAAAAGGAAGAACAGAGGTGGGTTTGCCAGGGGAAGCCCTTTATAGGGTAAAGGGGAGGGAATTTTCTTAATCCCCTATCTTGCAGATGCTTGTCGCAATTAGGAAGCACAGCCCATACGTACTGCCACCATGTCGTAAAAATAGGAGTATGCCTATAACAATACAAACTATTACTCTGTGCCAGCATTTACAGACTACTGTCACTGGACAAGGACCCAATACACCAGGGGTGCCCAAAAGGTAGAACCCCAGATGTTTTAAAACTACAACTTCCTGGGATCTACGTTTGGACACCCTTGTAAAACACCATACTGTGTAGATGGTGTTGAATACCAAAACTCCTGGTAATCTCACTGCTTGCTACTTCTTCTGTTTTGCCCACATGATGGCAGTACATGCTGTCCTAGTGTCAGTGTTAAAGGACCACTATAGTGCCTGGAAAACACTCGTTTTCCTGGCACTATAGTGCCCTGAGGGTGCCCCCACCCGCCCAGCTCTGGGGAGAGGAAGGGGGTAAAAACTTACCTTTTTCCAGCGCCGGGAGGGGAGCTCTCCTCCTCCGTTCCTCCCATTTAGCTGAATGCGCACGCGCGGCAAGAGCTGCACGCGCATTCAGCCAGTCGCATAGGAAAGCATTTACAATGCTTTCCTATGGACGCTTACGTGCTCTCACTGTGATATTCACAGTGAGAATCACTCGAGCGCCTCTAGTGGCTGTCATTGAGACAGCCGCTAGAGGAATTGGAGGAAGGATTAACCCATTTGTTAACATAGTTTCTTTGAAACTGCTATGTTTATAAAAATAAATGGGTTAATCCTAGCTGGACCTGGCACCCAGACCACTTCATTAAGCTGAAGTGGTCTGGGTGCCTAGAGTGGTCCTTTAAGCTACAGATAAAAACTTTCAATGCTATCTGTCACCCGACTGCTAGTCTATTTAACCTAAGTTGAACAATCAAATCTTTAATTCGACATGGAAGTCTCTTAAAGAGACACTCCCTGCTGTAGGAGAGATGTAGTGCCCACCCAAAGTAAGAAGTCAAACAGTTTGGTATCAGTTTCACAACTTACTTTGGGTCTGCCATGTACAGGACTAGATTTGCCATAGTACCACAGCTTTGGGGTGGCATAGCCAATGGGGAGATTAAAGATCTCCCTCACCGGCCAGCTGTTTCTCCAGTCGTGGGGTCATGCAAGCCGAAAGGCGATATTTCATGCAGGCCAGGAGTTCAAGTACAGAGGAGATTTTATTGTATCAGAGGTTTTCCGCAACAATGATTTAATGCGCAGTCCGGAACGAGCTGCCTACACACACCAGAGTGCAGATAGCAACATCTTCCTAGAGGACCATTACGGATCTGGTTCCTGCATTTAGAGAAACGTGTTTATCATGACTAGAGTGTCGTGAATATGGTTTACGGTCAAGATTTCACACTGCAAAATACAATATAGTTTATATTTCAATTTGGTACTGAAAGGGTTAAGGCAACAAATCTTTATTTTTTTTCTATATAACCTAGATTGCATGCTTGCCATTATCTTTATTGATAGAAAGGAGTTACATTGCACTGTATACAAAATAGATGAAAATGCAGGTCTTAATCAAACATTTTATTTATAATAAAAAATACATTAACAGCAAAAATTAGAGATATTAGTAGAAAAATAAAAAACAAATCCTTTTAAAATCAAATAGCTTTATATTATACAGGTTTGTTTAATTATGACTTGAAATATAAACCAGAACCAAGAAAAGTGCATAAAGTCATATGGGAAACTTTTTTTTCGCACTTAAGGTAAAATTTTGAGGAGGAGTTTGCAAGTTTAACAATTTAAATCCAAGGTGGTCAACATGGGTATTAATATATTTCTAGCCTTTCTTCTAATATGACCAAATGTAGTGTAACAGAGTATATAAGTAATGTTACTCATTTAACTTATAAAATATTCCAAAGAGTGTACAGTGTACCTGTGGTGTATCCTAAATCATCCAACAAGAATCTTCCAGGTGTATGGATGATTGATGTTTTATTCATCTAGTTTATGAGAAATTATCTTAAAAAAAAAAAAAAAAAAAACTTGTTGCTGAACTACAACTCACATTAATGCTCTAGCACGGTGTAAGGTGATTAGTACAGGAGTTTTAGTATTTCAGTAGTTAAGAGTTCTACTTTTGAGTACTCCGTTCTACACAATAGTTTAGAAACAGGATGTGCAAGCAAAAAGATGTGCTGTGTCAAGACATTGGGAATTTGAAAGTCATTAGTAAACAAATTCAGATTTAGCATGTTATCAAGGTTGAAACAGTGTTTTAATGCACACATTGTACTGATTTGTTTTTTCAACTAAATCCCAATATTCACCTTACGATCGTTAGGAGTTCACATTAGTACTAACGGTGGTCCAAGTCAGCACAAATCACACCTTAATGCATCCAACTAGAGTATAGTTAAATATTTAAAAACATTTTTTTCTCATTTAAGACACCTTAGCAGTTGCAATTCTGGCAAATGAGTTTACAGATATCACAGAACAGAGTCCAGTGTTAGTTAAATGAAAGGTTTTACTTATAAAATGAACATAGAATTATAAGATGCTGCTGTTATACAAGATCATATAAACTCTCATATTTACAACCAACTGAAATTAAGTTGCTGAATGTTTTCAGTTGCTTCCCCATTATGGGGAAATGGCCTACTACAGCACACTTTGCTTTCTTAATTCCTGCTAAGAAAGAGTTTGACAAGTTAGAAGGAATGTAAAATATCCTTCCCCAACCTGATAAAGATGCATTTATTTTTCCCAAGGTGTTTCAACTCTGGGTGCTATGAGATAAAAGCACCCATAATGCAGCCCCCTCAACAGCCACACTCATAATACCAAAGTTTTGTTTCAACATTGTCAAATTCAAATCCAACCAACCTTAAGATTGTAATAAGACTCAGGTAGGTTAGTACAGAGCTCTCAGCTTATTATTGCCATCAAACGTTGGGCAGATTACACACTTTGTGACGTGCACATGTAAGTTCCCCGTTAGCAGTGAAGCTGCAGAGTGAAGGCTCTGGCTGTTTTAAAACAGTTTGACAGGAAACAAGGGGTGTGACCATATATTTATAACCGCTTCAATTACCTGCTGTAGCTATGGTGCAAAGAGGACAGTTTGCATGAGAAAGTAACTGCTGTGCAGTTTTACAGGGCCTTTAGATTACCTTCAGGTAAAAACACCATTACACAGTTTGCAGTGACCGCGTGCTTTAACAGTACTCTCCTGCACCTTGTCTGAACGAATTTGACATCACACTTGATAATGTGCATCATTTCAGCTAACAGCAAAAATAATTAGGGTACCATTGAGGCTACCTGTAGAAAAGTCCGCACTCCGATTTGACAAATAGGGCTCAGCAGAAGTAAATTAATAATTGAACTCACGTTGAACAGAGTAGTAAGGGGTTATTATTGGTTAAAAATAAATTTTTGCTTGAACCAAGGTCAACCCTATGCATAAAGACTACAAGCACCACAACCACTTCAAATTGCTATATTGGGCAAGGTGCTTTAAAGATAGATCGTTTTCCTCTCCCTAATTACTCCTTGAGACATGCTGGAGAAAACATTTGATTCATAAACAAGCCACCAACTGGTAAAAAAGTTAAACATTTTCACTTTGTAGGGTCCCATTTCTAAATATATTGCTTTGAAGGCCAGATGGGTATGGAAAGTGGGGTTTGATAAGCTCAAAAACATTGAAATCAATATGTGTATATTATATATATATATATATATATATATATATATATATATATATATATATATATATATATATATATATTTTTTTTTTTTAATACAAAAATAAAAATCTGCAAAGCACTGTTTTCCAGAACAAAATGGCACTCACTCAAGTACGGTAGTTCCAGTCTGGAATAATTTGTCTAAAATCTTTAATGTTAAAAATAAACAAAACAAAAAAATTATATTATATTAACATCCTTTCATGTTTAAAGAGACACTATAGTCACCCAGATCACTTCAGCTCAATGAAGTGGGCTGGGTGCCAGGTCCCTCAGGTTTTAACCCTTCACATGTAAACATAGCAGTTTCAGAAAAACTGCTATGTTTACATTTGGGTTTAATCCAGCCTCTAGTGGCTGTCTTCCGGACAGTAACTAGAGGTGAATTTCGCCTCCATCGCGCAGTGCATCCATAGGAAAGCATTGAGAAATGCTTTCCTATGGACACTTTGAATGCGCGCGCGGCACTTGTGCATTCGGCTCCAGTGACGTAGGACGGGGTGAAGAAGTCACCAGCGCTAAGGGAGACGGGCATGTGCATTCAGCTCCAGTGACGTCGGACGGGGAGGAGAGGTCACCAGCGCTAAGGGAGACGGGCACTGGATTAAGGTAAACTGTTGAAAGGATTTTAACCCCTTCAGCGCCACGGGAGAGGGACCCTGAGGGTGGGGCCAAACTTTGTTTTCAAGGCCATATATATATTTTTTTTTATTAGAGAGATAGAGATATCTAGATATCTATCTATATATCTCTATATCTATATAATAAAAAAAAAAAAGGCCTTGAAAACGAAGTTTGCTTACATTCAACTGAAAAAGAGTAAGCTTTGACCTTCCACTGTTTTATTACATCAATCATCATCTTTGGTAAATTGTCAGATTTAAATTTTAAAGCAGCACTGTAACACCCCGGCCCCTGCAAAATAAATATTTCATAAAGCTAAAATCTTTAATGAAATATTCATATTGACTATTTACTTCACTGAAATTCCAAGCCAGTCAAAAGATATGGGACAAGTACCAAGAATGACTACAGAGAATTGGCTCTGGCTATGAAGAATCCCGTGGTTTCTCAGGACGCTCCATAGGCCTCAATGCTGTACTCTCGCACATGCTTGAGTACAGCAGTGACGTCAGCTCCTGGTGCTGCAGAACAGACTGGAAGAAAATATCAGTGCCTGTGAGGGACAGGAGAATAAGGTACAGCCACAGAAACCCCAGCAGCGATATCTCCATCGCGAGTCTTTGCAAATTATGCAAAGACCACAAATGTTGACAGTGCTGCTTTAAATATATAGTTGAAGTAGTATCACCAGGATCCATACATACCTGAGCAGTAAATTAGACATACCCAGTTGCCTCTTGTTAAAAAAAAAAAATATTTATATATAAAAAAAATACAAATTAAGTGTTAATGCCTATTGGGTGGATCTATTATGAATATGCAATGAGGGGATCACTCTCCAATGAGTGCATTCAAAGTCTATTTCAGGGGTAACCAAAAGGTAAATTCCCAGATGTTAAAAACTATAACTTTCGTGATGCTTTGTCATTCTAAAGGCATGCAAACCATCTGGTGAATTGTAGTTCTACAACATCTGGGGATCTACCTTTTGGGCACCCCTTGTATATGTTATTCTACTAAGGAAAGTTAGACAGACTTAGAATATCGCTAGAAAGCTACTATTGAGAGAGTGTGCCATATTTAAGAACCACTCTTCGCACCATAACAGCTTAATTGAAATGAAGTGCTTGGACATTCCGGGTATTAACTTACCTGACTGGGTTAAGCCATTAACTACTAGATTAACCCCCAAGTCTTCAATTTGGTGACTGATTGTTTTGCCCCTTCACTTCCATTCCAGACCAAGGCTTCAATCAGGAAGCCACGGACCAAACACTGTCAGCAGACAAGCTCAATCTATCAGTAGCTCTCCATTTACAAAACAAATTTAAAAAAAGATACATATTTTTTTACCTCCATTTCGTTAACGGGGAGATACTGAGGGTGTCAGCTGACACCACTTGATAGATGCTGTCGACTGCAATCGAAGGCGAGTCCTCCTCACTGAGCATCGCTTACTGAAAGCACCATCTGGTATTGACACAACTCGGCAAATGTCGGCCCATTTTTTTTTTTTTCTTTCCCTCATGTATTTTTCAGGTATTTGTAACTTGGGCGGTCTACAATGCATTTTATAGATTACAATTTTAAGGAGGTTAGGGGCAAAGAGTTCTCTATTAATAATTTTTCCTTTTCTAAACAATATTCAGAAAATTACATAAAGAAAATTAATGAAGTAGAAAACATGGTACATTTCTCAGAAGTAAGGAGATACAGCTTTGCAATTTTTACTATAAACAGCAATTACCACTCCTCGACCGGTAAAAAACACATTTCTGGTGCACTTACATCTCCAGAAACAAACAAAAAATAGTTTGCACATTGTAGCAGCATACAAAGATCGTAGATAAAAGAACATTTTAAAAGTGCCCCTTTTCCTTAGGAAAGCAAAATGGAGTTTCATATTGTAATTGATACAAAGTGTACTATTAACATTTTAATTCTTATTTTAAAAAATATATATATATTGTAAAAACATAGGGAGTTGAGAGGCAGTTTCTGTGCAGTAGCATTTTCAGATTAAAACAATTTATCTTCAAGGCAAACAGCAGTAAAAAGCATTGACATTAATCCAGGTTAGGCGTCAAAACGGAGAGTAAAACCAACTTTAAAACTGCATAAAGTATTTTTAACTTAAATTCACAGTAATCTGTTTTCCAAGGTGAAAAGGCTTGAATTCTAGATTCTGCAATCTATGTTAATTCGATCCATTATCAAAAAGACTGTAGTCGTTTTTCACCTGTTCCGAAGGCAGTCTTACATTCGTATATTCCAGAAGTGAATGACAAGGATGTTCCGTAGTAGATGATGGACAAGGCCCTTGTGTGTAGTACGCATGCTTGCATTTACTCTGGAATTTCACTTGTAGCGGTGTGCAAAGCCCCGTGGGGCTACAAAGTTGCTAAAATCCTTAAAAATGAGACAATGAGAACGCAGAAAGTCTGTCCCACACCTAGCACTAGAGCTTCAAAGGGAATCATTTCCTTGGCAGCCGCTCTATATACCCCTGCTATGGCAGCACCTGTTTGGAAAGATGAACAGTTTCATTATTACAGTCCGTGAATGTATCTTAAACTAAAGACCTGCAAGCCTACTGAGACATAAATGTCATAGTAGGCATAGCTGTAAGCATGCTCGAGCTTCCCATGAGGTTTTAATTAACAGTCTTTCACTCACACCAAACATAAAACGATGGAATGGTTCATAAGCTCTGTTCATGCTTTTATATCAGTCACTAAAATCTCTTTTAGAAAGCTACTCAACTGAGCAACTGCGTGATAGTTGTCCAAATGGGTTTCTCTTCTAGCAGTAAAATCAAGGGTTATTCACTAAAGTCAGAATTCAAAAGTAAGACCTATACAGCCAGACTGGAAGAATGTTTCCAGTTCGGTAATTATTACCTTAAATTTCAAATTCAAAATTCTGTCTCTGGCATCATCAGAAGTGGTGGTCTGAGCCAATTACAATGCATCCCCATAGGATTGGCTGAGACTGTCAAAGAGGCAGATCAGGGGCAGAGCCAGCACAAACTAAACACAGCCCTGGCCAATAAGCATCTCCTTATAGAGATGGATTGAATCAATGCATCTCTGTGAGGAAAGTTCAGTGTCTCAATGGATAGGGTGGAAACACTAAATGGAAGTGCTGCCCAAGGACGCACCTCTAGCAGTAATCCGAGGAGTGGTAAGTGGAGGTATCCCTAGGCTGTAATGTAAACACTGCATTTTCTCTGAAAAAAGACAGTGTTTACAGAAACACTCCTGAAGGGAATGATTTTACGCAACAGAACAAATGCAATAAGCTTTAGTTTTTCTGTGACTATAGTGTCCCTTTACCCATTATCTCCTTTACGAACCTGTACTATATATGTTTTTCTACTAACTTACAATTTTTTTGGCAGTGACCGTCTATTAGCAGACATGTAATAGTAACGCTTACTTGTTAAAATCCCAGCAGTTATTGGCCCAATTATTCCCATAAGCAGGATTCCGACTGACATAAATCTTCCATATTTGTGATGTCGAAGGGTAAAGAGAGCTAGCAGCCCAGCAGGTATATGGAAGAAAAGAGACGATACCAGTGCCCACAGGAATACACCATACCACATCTCTGTAACAAGAAAACAAATAAATAAATGAGTGCCTGGTGAGGGGAGGGTCCCATCAGATTTATAATTCAGTCTATACATCTGCTACCAAATCTGTTAAAATGTACGGGTGACTTTATATCTCCTCTTATATGAACAATGTACCAATAGGTAACCCTCATCCAGGACCCTGAGTTCAGCAGTGAATCAACATATAAACCAAATGTCCCGTAATTAAAGCAATACTATAGCGGTAAATAAAAAATAAATAAAATAAAAAAATAAACCTTCAAACCTTGCAATAAAAACATGTTTAAGAATCAGCAACAGTATAGCTTTAAATAGAGTACATTTGATATATATTTTGATTTAATAATTAATAGACAAGTGTGTTTATGCACATATGTATTTCACCTGATCAACAAGCAAACAAATTCAACATGGAGACCTGGTGTAGTTTACTTTTCCTGGAATGCCATGGCTGCCCAATGATAAACTACGTGACACAGGTAACATAACATTGTCCCAGAAGCACGTGTGGGTCATTCCTTCTCAATTTTTTTTTTTTAAATAAGGTAGTGCCTGTAAAATTACATTATTATTCTAATGCAAACCAAACACCAACACTGACAATCATTTTGGGAGTGTAATGTTAGAATTCTTGAGACCAATATCTCTAGTAATTATTCTTTAAAGGACCACTATAGTGCAAGGAAAACAAACTCGTTTTCCTGGCACTATAGTGCCCTGAGGTTGCCCCCACTCTCAGGGTCCCACTCACGTGGCGCTGAAGGGGGAGGAAGGGGTTAACTCCTTACCTTTTTCCAGCGGTGGGCTCCCTCAGCGCTGGGACTCTTCTCCCTCTTCTGACGTCACCGGCTGAATGCGCATTCAGCCAGTCTCATAGGAAAGCATTCTTAATGCTTTCCTATGGACGCTGGCGTCTTCTCACTGTGAAAATCACAGTGAGAAGCACGGAAGTGCCTCTAACGGCTGTCAATGAGACAGCCACTAGAGGCTGGATTAACCCATGGGTAAACATAGCAGTTTTACAGCAAAAAGGGTTAAACCTAGATGGACCTGGCACCCAGACCACTTCATTAAGCTGAAGTGGTCTGGGTGCCTATAGTGGTCCTTTAAGAATAGATCTAAGAAACACCAGTTTCATTATTACTGTCTAGACCAAAAGATCCTTGAGGACCATTTTATGATGACAGCAAGGACAATAAGGTTACCAAAACAAGTCATCGAATACAACTTTAGCATAATAAAACAGCTTTAGTGTATCATGCCCATGCAGTTTGTGCAGCTCTAGTCACATCTCCTTGCATGTGACACAGCTTTTCTAAACACTTCCTGTAATGTGATATGTAATGTTTAAACTTCCTTTATTGTACATTCTGCAGGGGTAGGCAACCTTTAGAACTTCAGATGTTGTGGATTACATCGCCCATAATACTCTTACAGGCATAATGCTGGCAAAGCATCAAGGAAAATGTAGTCCACAACATCTGGAATGCCAAAGTTTGCATATCCCTGCACTAGAGGAATTTCCACTGCACTGACTGAGAAACTCTGTCATGTGATGCAGGAGCCCCATACAAAAGCACTAATTCCAAGCTTTCCTATGGGGAAATTTGAATGCCCATGCAACATTCACTGCGCATGCACATTTAGTCCTACATTCTCCTTAAAGGTTCACTATAGTGTCAGGAAAACAAACTCATTTCCCTTAGTACCCCCATCCCGCTGGGCTGAAGGGGTTAAAACCCCTTCAGCTACTTACTTTAATTCAGCGCTCCCTGGGCTCTGGTGACCTCTCCTCCCACTCAGACGCCAGCTCCCGAGTGGAGCGGAATGCGAATGCGTGGCCAGAGCTGCGAGTGCATTAAAAACGCCCATAGGAAAGCACTGATCTGCACGCTGAACGCGATTTTCGCATTCAGCGTTACAGAAGCGCCTCTAGAGGCTGGATTAACCGTGCAATGTAAACAGGTTTCTCAATGTAAAATGTTTCTCTGAAACTGCTATGTTTACATCTGAAGGGTTAAAATCTGGGGGGACCTGGCACCCAGACCACTTTATTGAGCTGAATTGGTCTGGGTGACTATAGTGTCCCTTTAACATGTGCATTGGATTGGCCATGCCTCTTACCGTGAGGAGGGGTAATCGCTCCTATGATGCATTTCAAAAGCATCTTGGGAATTGTAGTTCGACAACAACCACTGGTAACTGATTTGGGGGTTGCATTTTGTGTGTTCCCCCCCATACTAGAATGGCCCCACATAGGATGTTTACATCACATAACTATTCCAGGTGGGTCCCAGTAGACACCTTTTAAGAGGGGACATATTACCGGGCAATAACACAGGGACTACACTTCCAGCACTCCACTTTTTGTGGACTACGTTTCCCATAATACCCCAGTGATATGCCTGGTATACTGGACCGTAATTCAGAGCAGTGAGAGTGTGGGGAGGTTATCCTGGCCGGGTGTAATGGGTGCTGGGTCCTCCCTCAGAGCGGCTCTCCCGCTCTCTCTCACCCGGGAAGGAGCACAGGGTGGTTTTGCATACAGTCTCGTTTCCCACCCGCGGGACCAGCCGGAGGCTCAAGATCTGCTGCAGGAGCCCGGCCTCGCCTCCCAGCCCTCCTCCACCGCCGTCCATATCTTCTCCATCCACCGCCCTGCAGGCCGCGGCGCCTCCTCGGGCTGTCCTAACTCTCCTCGGCAGGCCGTCAGCGCTGTCACACGGGGAGCCTCATCAGAAAGCGCTCAGCGAGCGAACGCCAATCACAAGAGAGAAAATGCCACAAGCGGGCGGGACTAGGGAGCGCACCGCGCGACGATTGGTCGCTGCAGACATCTGTCAGCCCGCAGCCAATCACAGCACGTTTCCGGGATCTGGTGACTGATGTTTTGGTCACACGTAGTTCTAAGCAATAGAGACTTAAAGGAACAGGGTTGTATGAACAATCTAGGCTGATTTTAGTTTTAGAAGTAGAAGTCTTCCCCCCCTTGTGGACAAGTTGTGCATGACTGGTCAGTCTAGCTGTAGCACTTCTCAATGAGCTGCAAGGCAGAGAGCTTGAGACCAGCACTAGGACTGGTTTGACATAGGGGTTCATAGAACTGCAGATCCAAGCCCACCAAATAAAATAGTCCAACTGATAAAAAAAAATCCTTAAAAAAAAAAAAAAAATTCAGGAAAAGACATCGAGGTAATATTGTGGTGGAATCTCGGTAAAAATAAATTTAGTAGGCCGAGATTACCACATGGCATGTGTACGTGCATATGCTGACGTATCGATCAGTTGGTTGCACGAGGCAAGATACGATCAGTAGTGTACGGAGCATGTGCAAGAATACAGGATGTAGTATTCCCCTCCTCCATTGTGCTGGACAAGCCATGTGGTCAAGCAGGAAGTTAATTCTTATTTGTAATGATTGGTCAAGAGAATGTGCGGGTGGAGCTTAATATGGGAGGAGTTATGTGCCTATATAGGAAGCCTGCACTATTGTTCAGGGCTCAGAACTTGCTGTATTTTTGGTGACATTAGTCCCTCTGAGTCCCGATCGGTGATCCAATAAAGAATCTCTTCCTTCCTGAAGAAACCTGTGTCCATCCCTCTGTGCTTTGCTTCCGTCAGTTTCTCCGGTATCATTTGGTGCATTGGCCGGGAAGCTCATCGTTCAACGGTAGCTGAGAGGCAGAGGCGTGAGACGGTCTATCTTTGCCCACGTTCTCTACGGCTGCACCCCTGAACTTCTGCGTGGACCTCCCTTCGTCTCGGCGCCACTGGTCTGTTGTCCAGGAGATCATCGGCCTCTACGTAAGAAGTGCTGGGGTGTCCCCGTCGATGAGTGTGAACTCAGGTTCAGGAACGAGGAGGTAAGACAACTGCTGTTTTAGACGGCAGACCCACTAGGGGTATACCGATTGTGCGGTAGGCCCAAAAGGGGTTTAAATCTGTGTATGGAATCTGCCCCCTCTGTCGGAGGGAAGGAGCGAAGGCGCACCGCTCGATCGAACGCTCTTTAGTAAGACCGTTTGATCTGGTTAGTCAGGCGGGGTCCTGTGTAAATAGCCCTAGCCGGACACCGGTGTCTTGTCTAGACTAGCGTTCTAGGGTGTATATTACGTTCGCTAGGTCGGAGGGACCGGGAGACTAAGCGGCGCCTGTGTAAATTCGGTTCGCTAGCTCTCAACCTATCTTGGCTAAGTGGGAAGGCGTGTAAATTTGGAACCCACTAGACTTTTGATAGAGTAAATAGACTAGAAGGGCAATTTTGTAAATTCGCCCTCTAGTTCGCTATATGTGGTGCTTGGGCAGTGTGGCTAACCAAAACGGGTGTATATAGTTTTAGGTAGTCCATTCAAGGTACTGGCCAATAGTTTAGTTGGGATTGTAAATGTGTTAAAGATTGTTAGTAAAGTGTATATCTTGTTAGATAGCGCGAGCTCAGCCGTCTAGCGAGAGTGTTAATAGTGTGTTGCTGTATCATAGTGCACGGTACCATAACCCTGTATATTTACTGACACTGTATATAAGTACTAATCATTGTCGTCTATTGCATGTTTAACACCATAACCACTAATAATTGTATTGTGACCTTAAATTGTGCTTTGACCTATGCTAACCGTACTGTAACCGATACTAGTAAAAGACGATGTTACTGGGGTGTGTTATAGACGGGTAATTCATATATAGAGAATTATAGCGTGGGTGACTGTATAGTTTCGCCAAAGGGCATAATATTGATTATTTAGTGACTGGTGTAACAGCTGTGTGTGTACGGGAATTCCCTGAGTGATTATTGTGTTATTGTGTACGTTTCACTCGGTAACTGTACCACGTGGTGCTGTTGCCAGAGGAAACGGGTGTGACTGTTGAATAAGAACGCGTGCATAGTATTCGTTGTCAACGACGTTCCATTGATAAGTATGGGCGCGTCAGAGTCAACGATTTCGGATCCCTTAGGTTGTATGGTAAAGAATTTTAAAAAGGGATTCAAAATATGTGATTTTGGGGTTAAAATGTCTCCTGTTCGTTTGGTCACTTTGTGCACTAGGGAGTGGCCTACTTTGGTTGCGGCATGGCCGCCGCGTGGCAGTTTGGATCCAACCCTGGTACAGCGTGTACACGTGGCTGTGTCAGGTAGGCCTGAACTTTACGGACAGTTTCCATACATTGATTGTTGGAGGCAGGCCGTAAACGACTCGCCAAAATGGATCCGGATATGCCACGAGGAGCAATGTCGCCTCATGGTGGCCAGGACTTATTTGTCCACTAGGACCGGTGTTAGGCCCATTTTGGACACGCCCCCTGAGTCCGAGATCCCTTTGCCGCCCCCTTACTTCCCTTTAAGAGGAAGTGACGCGAATGCAGGAAGTTCTGCACCCCTTCCCCTATTGCCCCCATCCACTTCCGCTTCCTCCTCCAGTACAGAATCCACCCCCCCTCGTATTAAAACTCCCCTTCCTGAACCAGGACCAACCCCCATTAGATCTGAATATCCTGATTTGGCGCCACTTCAAACTTCCGGTCAAGCTTCTTCTAGCTCGGCTCAGAGTATACTATTCACTAATTTTTCACAAAATCAAGTTCCCACATCCTCATGCCCTATTACCTCTCGACCGGAACCTTTAACTGACGCCCCTCCACGTAGCCCCATACTAACCCGACAACTGACCGGTACCCAACAATTAAAACATTATCAGATGCCTCTTCGTCTGAATCCTGGGTCAGCCTATATCGATGCCGCAGGTCAAATGGCACATGCTGACCCAGTCTTCGTATATGTCCCGTTCACGACTACCGATCTCTTAAATTGGAAGACCCACAATTCCTCGTACACTGAGAAACCACAAGCTATGACCGATCTGTTCACCTCGATAGTTCAGACACATAACCCGACATGGGCTGATTGCCAGCAGTTATTAATGACATTGTTCAATAATGAGGAAAGGACAAGGATTAACCAAGCGGCCATTAAGGCGCTAGAGGAGAGAGCCCGTGCTTTAAATCAAGCCAATCCGGCAGCATGGGCCGCAACACATTACCCTAACACCGATCCTGACTGGAATGTAAATGGCGCAGATATGGCTCAACTTAAAGCCTATAGAGACGCTATAATTGCTGGCATGAAAGCCGGAGGGAAGAAAGCTATTAACATGTCAAAGACAGTTGAGGTGATTCAGAAAAGTGATGAAGCGCCCAGTGTCTTTTATGACCGATTACTGGAGGCATACCGCTTGTATACCCCCTTTAATCCGGAAGACGCTGATAATTTCCGAATGGTAAACTCCGCCTTTGTCAGCCAAGCTTACGGAGATATTAAGCGCAAGCTACAGAAATTAGAAGGGTTTGCAGGTATGTCTATCACCCAACTAATGGAGGTAGCGAACAAAGTATATATGAATAGGGAAACAGAAAGTAAGAAAGAGGAAGAGCGCAAGATGCGTAGAAAGGCAGATATGTTAGCGGTAGCGATCGCAGGCGTAGATAGACGGGGCCCAGATAGAGGCGATGGTAGATGGAATAGGGAGCCTTTGAGTAGGAATCAGTGCGCGTACTGCAAGGAAGAAGGGCATTGGAGGAATGAGTGTCCGCAAAGAGAGCAGTATGAGAGAGACTTACCCAGGGCAGGTTATGGAAACTTTAGAGGCAGAGCGAGAGGTAGAGGAGGCCCCGGAGGGAGTAATGGTAATAGAGGGAGTAATGGGAACAGAGGAAGTGTAAGGGAAGATAGGTACTATCCAGCAGCGCAAAGGTCCCGCGATAGAGAAGGTAGGGACTTTGTGGGATTGGCTGACACGGTCATGGAGGACTATTGATACCGACCGGGCTCCATCCCCCTTGGTCGAGCGGAGCCTATGGTCGATGTATCAATAGGGGGAAAAAGGAGTGCGTTCATGATCGACACTGGTGCTGAACATTCGGTGGTGACTAATCTAGTTGCTCCTCCATCTGGAAGAACTATTACTGTAATAGGAGCAACTGGAAGAAGTGCTGAAAAACCGGTTCTTAAAAGTCGACTCTGTACATTGGGAGGCCACGTAGTAAAACATCAATTCCTTTATATGCCTGAGTGTCCAGTCCAATTGCTGGGACGTGATATGCTATCCAAATTACAAGCGCAGATTACGTTCCTACCAAATGGAACAACATCCTTAAAGTTTAATGGACCCTCAGGTATTATGACATTGTCCGTACCAAAGGAAGAAGAGTGGCGACTTTATACAGTGTTGACTAGCCAAAACCCGAGGAGTGATGAATCCTTATTTAACATACCAGGAGTTTGGGCAGAGAACAACCCACCAGGACTGGCCCGCAATATTCCACCTATTAAAATCGAACTAAAACTTGGGGTTTATCCAGTAAGCCTGAGACAATATCATATTCCGCAGAAGGCTAAGAAGAACATCCAATCTTATCTGGATAAGTTCATACGGTATGGTATCCTAAAGTTCTGTACTTCCCCCTGGAACACCCCATTGCTGCCTGTTCAAAAGCCCGGTACAGATGAGTATCGACCTGTGCAGGACTTGAGAGCAGTCAATGATGCGGTTGTTAGTATACATCCAGTCGTGCCCAATCCATATAACCTGCTTGCTTTAATTCCGGGCGGGGCTACTTACTTTACAGTCTTAGATCTCAAAGATGCCTTCTTTTGCCTCCGAATTGCCGTAGAGAGCCAATGTATCTTTGCTTTCCAATGGGAAAATGCTGTAACGGGCTCGAAACGCCAAATGACCTGGACAAGATTGCCCCAG